CAACAGCAGTTGCTCCCAATCCCACTGATTTTTTTTTTTTTTTTGGTTTTTTTTTGAGGATATACACCGAAGCACTCAGGAATATATAATCATTCAAACAACCAAAGGGTTGTTTGCACACCAGTCCCCCAGCTGCCAGCACACAGCCCCTCTCCCTCCCTGAGTCCAGGGTCCCTAGCCACTCTGTCTCTCCACGTCATTGTCTCTGCCTCCATCTCTGGCGTCTTTGCTTCTCTGGTTAGGGTCCCGCTATTTACTCTTCTCCCTTGATAACACCTTTAATTTTTAATACTGTAAAGAGGTCTTTTGCAATAGATTTGCCCAATATAATATATTGTTTGATTTCCTGATTTTTTTTCGTGGACATTAAATATTGATCTCTTATGCCCATAAAATAATCCATCAATTTGCATGTCCACTGTACACACAGCTGTGGGTTCTACAAAGATTCACTGTGAATGAGGCAGTGATGGTCCCTGCGTTTGCAGAGCTCATAGGCTGGTGGAGGTAGAATTCTCTGACGGGCCAAGCCTGAGTCATAGGCTCACTTCTTCATAGGGACTGGTAGGACAATTGGGTTATTATCTCTACCAAGATTTATCTAGTGTAGTTTCTCAAAGAAACACACCGGGGCACTGTTACCAGAGGAAGAAGGGAAAGATTCTGGGTACACACAATCAAGGGCTAGTCACTAAATTGGTGGTGATGGTGGTAGTTGTGTGCCACTGAGTCGGTTCAGATTCACAGCGACCCTTTAGATCTTTACTGGAGCTGTAAATCTTTGTTATTGCTGTTGTTGAGTGCCATCGAGTTGGTTCTGACCCATAGTGACCCTATGTAGGGTTTCTGAGGAGCGGCTGGTGAGCTTGAGCCACCGACCTTGCAGTTCAAATGGCTTTACAGTCTGGCGCATTAACCCACAGCGCCACACCAGGAGTCTTTACTGGAGCAGAAAGCCTCCTCTTTTTCCCATGGAACAGTTGGTAGATTCAAACTAGTGACCTTGTGACTAACAGTCCAGCTCATAACCCATTACGCTACCAAGGCTCTTTATCCACTAAATTAGAGGCATGTAATCATTATTTTGTGGCACTGTGGGTTAATGCACCAGACTGCAAAGCCGTTTGAACTGCAAGGTTGGCAGTTCAAGCTCACCAGCTGCTCCTTGGAAACCCTATACAGGGTCACTATGGTCGGTATTGATTTGATGGCACTTAACAACAACAACAACAATCATTATTTCATTCTGCTGTGCGTAAGATCGCTATGGGTCGGTACAGACTCGATGGCACCTAACAACAACAACAACAATCATTATTTCATTCTGCTGTGCGTAAGATCGCTATGGGTCGGTACAGACTCGATGGCACCTAACAACAACAACAACAATCATTATATCAGGATTGGAAGAAGACTCATTAACAACCTACGATATGCAGATGATATAACCTTGCTTGTTGAAAGTGAAGAGGACTTAAAATATTTGCTGATAAAGATAAAAAACCACAGTCTTTGGCATGGATTACATCTCAATGCAAAGAAAACAAAAGTCCTTACCACTGGACCAATAAACAACATTTTTATCAACGGAGAAAAGATTGAAATTGTCAAGTACTTCATTCTTCTTGGATCAACCATCAACACTCATGGAAACAGCAGTAAAGAAATCAAACGATGTATTGCATTAGGCAAATCTTCTGCACAAGACTTTTTTAAAGTGTTGAAAAGCAGAGATGTCAGCTTGAGGACTAAGGTTCGCCTGACCTCATATGCATGTGAAAGCTGGACAGTGAACAAGGAAGACCATAGAATTGATGCTTTTGAGTTATGGTGTTGGAGGAGAATATTGTAAGTGCCATAAGCTGCCCATAGAACCAACAGATGTGTGTTGGAAGCAGTGCAGCCAGAGTGCTCCTTGGAGGCCAAGATGGCCAAACTTCTACTCTCATACTTCAGACATATTGTCAGGAGGGACCAGTTACTAGAGAAGGATATCATGTTTGATAAGGTGGAAGGTCAGAGAAAAAGAGGAAGACCCCCAGCAAAATGGATTGGCAAAGTGGCAGCATCAGTGGGCTCAAGCGTGGCAACAAAAATGAGGTTGGCCCAGGATTGGGCAGTGTTTCCTTCTGCTGTCACAAAGTCGCTATAAGTCAGTACCGACTCGATGGCACCTAACAACAACAACAACAATCATTATGGGATGGAGAGATGGGAATGACACCAGCCTTTCTTTCTACAGCACAAGGGAAGACTACTTGCCTTGTTTGTCCCTGACATGTTTCAGGGTGTGGACTATAGGAAGCTGAAAGTCTTTCTGCCTGTCATAGGGACCAAAGATTATCTTCTTCTAGATATCCGGCCATAAGAGTCATACCCTGGGTCATCACTCTCCCCTCAAACACCTACATTTACCAGCCATCCCCTACAATGCTTGTTAGATATACACAGCATATTTGTGTGGTTAGGAAACAAAAGAGGGAATTGCTTTATGTTTTGAGGACCAGAAATTGCCTCCCAAGACTCCGAAAGTTGGCAAGTCTTCATCCAGACCTCAGCTCCTGAAAGTGTGTTTGAGTAGAAAGCTGTAACTTTCATCCTGGCTGCACTGCACATTGGAAGCACCTGAGTAACTTTTACAAACTACTTATGCCTGCGCTTCACCCACAATTTTGACTTAATTGGTCTCTGGTGGGGCCCAGGCATTTGACTGTCTTAACAATGTTCCAGGTCTTTCTAATGTGCAGCCTGGGTGAAAAAAACCACCATTCAAGTGCTGAGTTTCCGTGCTTCCAGGATAGAAGCCAATAAGAGGAGAGAGCATTGTCTGCATCTTGTTCATCACCGGATCCCAATACCTACAACAATGCCAAGTACCTGGCAGGGGTTCGCTAATTATCTGTGGGATAAATGATGCTCAACAGTTTTGCACAAACTCCCAGTTTGGCAGAGATAGCTTCCCGCAAAGAATGGCAACCTCCTCCCCTCTCCTTGGCACAAGGGGAAGGAGGCAAGTCAGTCCCCACTTGGCAAACTCCTGGGGATTCCAGAACCTCTCCTTCCTTATCTTCTGATGCAGTAATTCTCAACGCTGGGTGCACTTTGGAATGATCTCAGGTTGGTGTAAAAACTACCGATGGTTTGGGTTCACTGGGTTTGGAGTGTAGTCGGCCACAGGCATTAACAAAAACCCCAGGTAATTATTATTGGCTGTCAGGATGGAAGACCACAGTTCTAATTTTCTTTTATTCCACTGCAACTCATTTTCTGCCTTTTGCTAAACTGGTTCCAATACCCCTGGAAGTGTTTTGGGGGTTGTTAAATGCCATTGACCCATAGTGACCCTGTGTAGGGATTCCGAAGAGCGGCTGGTGAGCTTGAACTGCCGATGCTGTGGTTCATACTGACCTTGCAGTCCAGCGCATTAACCCACAGTGTCATATGTTGGGGTCTGTATTGGATTCTAATGTGGTGTACTTTGTTCATAACACTCATCTTGGGAGTTTGTGAAAGTCCAGAGATTCGCGTTTAATCGTAATTACCAGGGGTGGGGATAGGGAGAATCATTATTTAGCTAGTATAGAGTTTTTGTTTATGGGGAGGGAAAATTTGGCCATAGATATTGCTGATGGTTGCACGTGATTGATGTAATTTGTTTTACTGAAGTGTACCTGTGAAAAATGTTGAGTTGGCAAATGTTGTGTGCTTTGTATTTTTATAACAACAATATAATAAAAAACCAAAACACTCACAGCCCCACATTCCTGAGGCTTTACTCCAGACCTACAGGAGGGGCCTGAGGCTCTGGTTTTTTTAACAAGAGTTCAGGTATACTTCTTACCTGCCAGCCCTCCTCTCCTTTTGTTTATCCTCTAGCTTGCCAAGTTTCTTGTAGCTTTTGCTCTTCTATCTTACTGCCAGATACACTGTCTCCACATCTTCAGGCTAGTTGAAATGTCCCCTCTGCAGAAAGTTCACTTAGGTGACCTTTTCTCCCCAGTCTGTTCTTTGACCCACACTCTGATGAACTCTCTGCTGGGAAAAGAGTTTTATTGTTTTTCCTCTTGGTCAGGTCTGTCTCCATTCCAGAACCTGGGCTCCTAGGGGCAGCCGTGTCTAGTTAGTGTTGTTTCCCCAGCACATGGCACAAAGTCAGTGACTGATAAGGTGGTTATGTATAATAAGCACTGGACTGATATAATAACAACAAGGTTGGTGGTTCGAGTCCTCTCGCCTCTCTGTGGGAGAGAACTGTGAGGCTTTCAGTTCTGCAAAGATGTAAGCTACGCAAGGTAGTTAGGATTCCAAACCAACTCCACAGCACTTAACAACAACAAGGAGGGGATTTGTGTATCCTGAGAGGCACCCAGGAGTGTGAACTGCAGATGAAATCATACCACAGCTGTGGGCGTAAGAGGCACCTGTGTAAAAGGAATGCGTCCTAAAGAAACCCTGGTTGTACAGTGGCTGAAGTGCTTAACTGTTAACCAAAAGGTGGGTGGTTTGAAGCCAGTCTCTTGGCTGGGAGAAAGCTTCGGTGCTTTGCTTCTGCAGGGTTTGAAGTCTTGTAAACCCTATGGAGCAGCTCTATTTTATCCCACAGCGACGTGATGTTCTGAGTCGGAGACCACCCTACCGAGTTAGTTTGGTGGTCCTAAGACAGACTCTCCCACCCCCAAATTTGGAACTGCGATCAGTTGGTGTAAGTGACAATGGCCAGGGGCTGTCTTGTTTAGACCCTTGGTCAGGCAGGGCGCACCGCGCTCTCTCGGAGGATGAAAGGCCCGGGCGTCTGGCGGTGGCCCAGGCTGGTGGCTCTGTGCGGTGTCGGGGCAGTGCGGCTAGGGCTGACCTCCTTCCTGCCGGGGACCGGCCAGCCCCGCTTGCCCTCTCTTTCTCCCTCCCTCCCCGGTCCCCGGGTGGCGCCCCGCCTCCGGCCGGCCTGGCCGCCCAGTCTCCGCCCCGCCCCCTCCCCCCGGGCTGCAACAGGTGCCTCTCGGAGCAGGAAGCGCGCGCGCAGCCGCTCAGCTCCCGGGCGCCTCCGGACCCGCTGCGCCAAGCGCGCCAGCCTGACCCGGCGTGCGTCCCCACGAGGAAAGTGACCCCCCGCGCGACGCTTCGCCACCCCTGGCCAGGAGAACGCCGAGCCCTCGCTCGCCCTCCAGTCCCACAGTTCGCGCGCCATGGACGCCCTAGAGCCTCAGCCCGACCCCGACGGCAGGGACGCCCCAGGCCACGAGTCCGGGGGCAGCCCCCAGGACGAGTTGGACTTCTCCATCCTCTTCGACTATGACTATGACTATTTGAATCCCATCGAAGGTCGGTGGGGGCTCCCCGCGGCCCCCGGCCTGGCCCTGAGCCCGGGCAGGGACTTGGTGCTGGGGAGTGGGCGCAAGGTCCCCCTCTGCTCCAGACGCCACTCTTTCTTGGGGGGGCTCTCGGGTGGGGGAGGTTCCCCTCACCACCCAGGTGAGAGGAGGATGAGGGTCAGTAATAACTGCTTCCACCCCTAGGGGGCGGTAGGCTCACTCATGCCCCATGGGGGGCGTCGGTTTCCAGTTACTTGCGACTCGTCTGAGAGTTGTTGTTAATGGAGCAAAAGGGTGCAAACCCGAGGCTGGGGGAGGAGGCTCAGTTGGCCTCTTGACTGATACTGGGTGGTCAGCGGCAATGATTTATTTGCATTAGGAGGGAGGAGATGCGGAGTTCGTGGACAGGGGGCTGTGCAAAAAGAGTTGCAATTGAGCTTAATTTTCTGGCACGTGGGACTAGGCCTCCTCCCTCTAGGGTGTAGAGCGAGCAGGCTGCGCGGCACCATCGCATGGGACGCGTGTTTGTTGGTGACTTTTTTGTTGAAACTAAGGAAGAGGTTGTCTGTGTCTAATGCTGGGGGTGGTTTGGCTGCTGCTAGGAGGCCGGCCCATTTCCTCCCTGGCTTCTGCGGCTGCTGTGTTTGCGAATCACCCCAAGTGAATCCGGCTGAGTTTTCAGAAATGATTAAATGGGCCTGGACCCCAGAGTCCTATGGATGATAGTGTGTGTTGTGGAGGTGAAAGGAGAACTGGCCTGGTGTTTGCCCGGAGAGACAAGCTATTCCTGCCTTAAACGGTCTGCCATGCTGTCTGTCCAATGGCCTGCTGGCTCAGGGGACTTCCCCAGGCTAGGCCCTAGCTTATCTGTCACTTCGGTGTTTAATAGGAGCCTTCTAGAGGGGGGAGGAGTGAGGAGGTGGCACACACAACATCTCTGTATTTTTCTGGTTAGCTGTTTGTCCTGGAAAAAAAAATTACAAAAAAAAAAAAAAACCCCAAAAAAACAAAAACCACCCCGACTAGGTTTCCTGATTTTAACTGCTCAGCTTAGCCTGTGTTTGCTTAAACATCAGGCTGCCAAATGGTAACTTCCAGATGTGGAGATGGCTGGCATCTAGGGAGAGTAAGGGGCTGTGCTGACTGGTTTGTGTAGGAACCTGTTCAGAGACGAGGTGGCTTACTGATTCCCAGATGGGCAGAATCCTTTTGTGCATTTTCCTTTTGTCACATTACTGTCTATCCTGGCCACCTCAGGTGAGGGGTTTACTTTGACTTGAGGAGAGGACTTGCCTTCACTTGGATACCAGGAGATGGCAATTAGTTATAATTTTGTGTTTTGGCTGGAGATGGAAGTAATTAGGCTGCAAAGGAGCGAGATCTTCTAGAGTTGCAATCTGGAGGCCATCCTGCCCTTTGAAAAGATACAATTAACAATCTGCAAACGATCCATGCATGGATCAGTGGTCTTTGTGTGTGTTAAGATTAAAGTCATGTTTTGCAGGGAATCAATACTTACACACCCCTCCCAGATTCCCAATCAACTAACATTTTTTTTTTTTTTTTTTTGGTAGGAGATTTCCGGGGAAATAATTCCTGAGCCAAATCTGATGGGAGGTGCTTTTTATAGTTTTTCTTGGCAAGTGGTGTGTGGTGGCTGCCAGATGGGTGTCTAAATGACCTTTTTTTTTTTCCCCTTTTTAATCAACTTTTATTTTTTAGCACAGTTTCAGATTTATAGCAAAGTTGCGAAGATAGTATAGAGTTTCCATAGACCCCACATTCAATGACCTCTGTTATTAACATCTTGTGTTAGTACAGTGCTTTTCGTTCCAGTTACTAATCTGATATTAACACATTATTATGAACGAAAGGTCATAATTGATTGTAGTTTCTTTAGTTTTGACCACATGTCCTTTTTTCGGGTCCACCATTCCAGCTGTGGGGCCACCACACATTTAGCACTTTAAGCTCCTCTTTAAGCCGTCACAGTTTTCTGAGACTTTTCTCATTTTTGATGACTTTGAGAGTTTTGAGGCATACAGGTTGGGTGCACTGTAGATTGTCACTCCATGAGGGGGGGTTTCTCTCTTGTATTTTTTGTGATTTGACTGATGTTATGGAAATTTTGGAGGGTGCCAGTTTCATAAGGAACACAGGTGGCTCAGCTGTTAACCACAAGGTTGTCGGTTCAAATCCAGCAGCCACTCTGTGGGAGAAAGCTGTAACAGTCTGCTTCTGTAAAAGATTGACAGCCTTGGAAACCTTAGAGGGCGGTTCTACTCTGTCCTCCAGGTTGCTATGAATTGGAATTGACTCGGTGGCAATGGGCTTGTTTTTTTTTTTTTTTTTTGGTTTAGCCATACTCCTCCTTGTATCAGGAAATGTTACCAATTTGCACCGGTCACTGTTGATGTTGACTTTGACCACCTGGCTGGGGTAGTGTGTGTCAGATTTTTTCACTATGCTCTCCCCAACCCACTCCCATACTCTGGTCTTTGGAAGGAAGTCCCTATGCACATCTGTACTTAAGGAGTGAGGAATCTGTTTGTAGAAAATGAGTCTTGGCCAGGAAGTAGACAGCACAGCAGTCAGCCTACAGGAAGAGAAAGACCATCTTGGGCTTTGAGAAGGGAGGGAGAGGTGCTCCAGATGTGGACCCAACTCTGGCTTCTCCAGATGTCGGTAGCTGCCACCTCTCTGCTGCTGTACGAATAACTCCCCAAGGTCCAAGACCACCCCTTATCTTAGTATTGGGTTGTGTGGCAGATGTCATACATTGGTGATACACATGGGTTATGTTACCCATCACGCTGGACCTGAGCCAGGCAGAAATCAAGGAATGAAAATGACTGTTGCTAGGAAGGGCTTTTTGTAAGAAATTGGGGAAGGTACTTAGGGAATGACTTGGAAGCCAGGATACTCATTTTATGGTCTTTTTAATTAATCTATTTTTTAAAGCTTCAACTATCATATTTTGTTTCATTGTAATGATTACAATCCCCTCCATGCATCATCATTTAATAGTATTTGCTTCTATTCCCTCTTTTTTGGTGTACACAAAAACACTCAGGAATATATAATAATTTATACAACCAAAGGGTACATTCTGCAAGCCCTGCCTCCTGGCACACAGCCTTTCTCTTTCCGTGAGTCTAGAGTCCTCAGCTGCTCCCTCTCTCCATGTCCTTATATCTGTCTCCATCTCTAGTGTCACTGTTTCTCTGGATAGGGTCCCACATATGCCTCAGGTGCTCTTCTCTCTTGATGGTTCTAGGTTCCTCTGTACCTGGGGTGTTAGATTAATTACTCCCCCCTTTATGTTGCAAATTTTGTACCTTGACAGTTGTGACAATTGAATTCCTTATGATAACAATTACTGTTGAATCAAAAGAATCATATTTTATTATGCTTCTGCATGTAGCAGACATTTATGGACTCATGTAATATGCCTACAACTCTAGGAGGTAGGCAGATCATTACCACCATTTCAGAGAGGAGGAAACTATGGCACAGAAATAATTTCTCCAAAACAGCAGCTGATCAGTGGCAGGTCAGCTCCCAAGTCTGCGTTATGAACTATTATATGAAACCCCATGATTTTGTCATTTGATGAGCCATGCATGTTAAAGAAGTTACTGTATGTCTGGCACCGTGGGGCAAGGCTGAGAGTTAACATATTTACCTTAGGCAAGGGGTCTTGGGGTAGTGCTGTAGGTTATTGCGCTGGACTGTAAGGTCAGTTTGAACCGCAAGATTGGTGGTTCAAGCTCACTTGTCACTCCTCGAAAACCCTATATAGGGTTGCAGTGGGTCAACGGCACTTCACAACCACCACCACCTTAGGCAAATCATTTTACCTCTTCAGACCTCTGTATGCTCCTCTGTCAAATGGCTGAAATAATGGTACTGACCCCGTCGGGTGGTTATTTGTTCTCAGTGAATTAACCCATGTGTTGTGGCTATTTTTGGTAAGTGCCATCAAGTTGGGATCTGACTCATAGCGACCCTGTACAGGGTTTCCAATGAGCAGCTGGTGAGTTGGAACTGCCGGCCTTAATGGCCCAAACCGACATTGCAGTTCACCGCTTTAACTGCCAGTGCCGCACCAGAAATCATAACTAGTCCTTTACTTAACCCTTACTAAGGAGTCCTGGTATGGCGCTGTGGGTTAATGTGCCAGACTGCAAAGTCATTTGAATCGCAAGGTTGGTGGTTCAAGCTCACCAGACACTCCTTGGAAACCTTATACAGGGTTGTTATGGGTCGGAATCAACTCGACAGCACTTAACAACAACAGTGACAGCAAGGAACTCTGGTAGCGTAGTGGTTACGAGTCAGGCTGCTAACCTCAAGGTCAGCAGTTCGAAACTACCAGTGGTTCCGTGGGAGAAAGAAGAGGCTTTCTGCTTGTATAAAGATTTATAGCCTCGGAAACCCTATGCAGGGTTGCTGAGTCAGAACTGACTCCGTGGCACATAACCATCACCAGTAATCTAAAAAACCTCAAACCCATGACCATTGAATTGCTTCCAACTCATAGCAACCCCATTGGGTTTCCAAGGCTATCATCTTTATGGGAGTGCACTGCCATATTGTCCTCCTAGGGAACAGCTGGTGGGTTCAGAACAAATAACTGCTGATCTTTTGGTTGGCAGCCAAGTAAGTGCTTAACCAGTACACCAGTAAGGCTCCTGGCTTCAATTATGGTGGCGGTGGTGGTATGCCATCGAGTAGGTTCCCACTCATAGTTAACACCTGGCATAGGGTTTCTGTGGCTGTAAATCTTTCCGGGAGCAGAAAGCCTCATTTTTCTCTCATGGAGAGACTGGTGGATTAGAACTGTTAACCTTGCGGTTAGCAATCTAACACGTAATCCACTACGCCACTAGGATTCCTTTGCTTTGGTTAATTTATTGTTGTTAAGTGCTGTCAAGTTGGTTCTGACTCATAGCAACCCTGTGTAGGGTTTCTGAGGAGCAGTTGCTGAGTGTGAACCACCATTGCTTG